CGCGACACGCCCTGTCCTCTGTACCCAGCCGTCACGCCACACCACACACGGCGGCTTGGAGGCGGCGGCCCAGGCGATGTTTACCTTCGCCAGCCCCACGTGTGGCTTGGCGCCTTGGTCCTGCGAGGTGGAGCCGGCCTGGAGCTGACCCGGAGCTGACCTGGAGATGACCCCCCCAGCCGCGGGCAGCGAAACCCTACAAGCCCCTCCGGGCAGCGGGGAGGGTTGAAGAGCCTCGCCCCCAGGCTTACAAGGCCCTTTATCCAGCGCAACAGCTGAGCGGAGCGAACGGCCGTGCAGCGGGGCGGAGCCTCTGGCCTCGGCCGATTGCCCATCATCGGCAGCTGTCTCGGCAGCCCGCGCTGAGCGCTGACAAGCTCGAGAAACTGCATTTACAAGATGCGAAAAATGTCTGCGCGCTCCTCGTCAACTCCGCCCCGCCATTAGGCGGGAGCGTCGCGTTCGCGCCGCACCTCGCACCTGGGCGCTAAACACCTGCGGCGCGGAGAGTGTTGTTTGTTGTCTAAACACGGGAGAGCGGCTATCATCTGTCCCATCTGCGCCGGGCGGGAAGTGATGTGGTTTTCGTCCCCGTTTTATCGCATAGCACAGCGCCGCGCCGGAACTGACCCGGACAAGGCAGCGAACACACGGCTCGGAGTGTTTATGGGCCTGGCACGCGTTGTTGGGGCAGGGCAGGGCGGCTCTAATCAGCTCTTATCATCGGTCTGCCCCTCGCGCCTCTTGTCCTCCTCGGTCCATGCTGCAGCAGGGTCCCACTCCGCCGCCCGCCACCTCCGCCTGGGCCAGGTGCGGACCAGGTGCTTACTGTTCCGCGCTTCATTCGCAGATCCCTCTCTTGTTGGGATGATCGTCCCACAAAAGGCCGGCGGGCAGAGCAGCAGAGGCCGGAGCCGTAGGGTCGTGTCGGGCCCATCGGCATCGGGCCGGGCCGGGCTCAGGAGACAGTGCAGGTGCAGGGCGGGCCTGGCGGGCCGCCGGCGGGCTGGCGGCGGCGCACGTCTGGATCCAGGCTGGCCAGCACATGGCGGGGCGGGGGAAAGGGGGGGAGGGCACCTGGTGCCGACACGGCCCGCACCTGCACGTGGCAGTGGCCCTGCGGCACGCCCCGCCACCGCTACTGGTTCGGGCTCAACACTCGATACCCCACCATCCCCTCGTCCTACAAGAGGAGATGGAGCTCTGCGTCGCACACGTCGGCCTGCAGCGCACCCGTGTGATGAGATGCGAGGAGACAGGCAGCAAGCCCCCGGGCGGGGCGGCCCGCGGGGGGGCGGGGGGCCCCGCCCCATTGTGCCGCAGATAATAAAGCTCCCCATTTCGCTGCGGGTCCTCGTCGTGCGTTCCCCCGGAGCCCCCGCTCTGTGCATTCACAGTGTGCTGAACCCACGACCTACTTCGAAGAGGCCGCTCTCAGTTTTCGCGAGAATGAAACAATGAGGATACCGAGGATACATACAAACCTTGTCTCTCTGTCAACGTGGCCCGCTCTTCTGGCCGCGGCTCCGCCTCCCCCGCGGCGGCATGCAGGGCAGGCCCCGCGCGCTCATCGAGAGCAGTCGCGTGTCGATGATGTAATTGAGGGGAGGACCGCGGAGGCTGCGTGCCAATGATGACGACTACACTCGCCCGCAACAGCGGGAGGCGAGAAGGAGGCGCGCGCCGACAGCAGGACTCCGAGGTGTACATGCCGCGCTGAAGAAGAGTCGAGTCGAGCGGCTGCTTAATGAATGGGAGCGATGTGCGAGTAATCGAGCGAAATGCAAAGGCGCGCGCTTTGAACGCGCCCCGCCGCGCGGCGTGTTTCGTCTCGTCCGTACGCATCCCGCGGCTCAGTAAACAGTAGAGAGCGCGCGCCAATTGCAGAGATGGCACTCTGCGCGCGAAACTCGAACGGCGCACGGGCAAAAGTAATTGACGTCGCGCAACTATAGTCCCATCACAGTGCACCATCAACCAACGCTAAGTGTTTGAGCATTTTGGTGAATGCATGTTTTTGAAGAAAACGTTTTTCTTTGCAAATGTAATGGGCTTTTCTACCCGTTGGAAATGTACGTGCGTGTGAAAAAGAAGCGGCAAGAAGGCGGGAGATTGCACTGCGTTGTGCACTGCAGGTCGGCGCCCCACCCAGCCGCCACGGCTCACCACTCACCACGGCTCACCACGCCCAGGTGGCTGGATGCGCAGGGGGGCCAGGGCCACGCGGTGTAAGTGCCGCGGCGAGGCGAGCCCCGCTGGGCCCCGATAGGGCACGGGGTTACGAGCGGAGCGGGGCTCCGTGCCAGCGGAGGTGCAGCCTCGTGCAGTGCACGACGGGCCGTTAGGGCCATCGGGAAATAATGTGACCTACATACACGCCCTCGAGTAACGTACGTATAACGCATTTTACTCTACACGCCACTTACTTAGATAGTATAAGAAAGTGGACAATAACATTAGCTTCCACAGCTGACTTTTATCGGTTGCTTTATTGTAACCACTAACAGTTTTCTGTTCGCATTCTTCGGGATGTCTCTTTATGCCCCGTTGTTCATTTTTAAGTTTTACCTCTCGGCGTAACCAAAAAAAAGTACGGGCGTATGAGGCTATACCATGTGGCTGAGTAACCCCGCGTACTTGTAGTTATGCTGTACCGCACGCACGAGTGCGGCGCGGGTTTGCCTATCGCCCCTGTCCACGGCGCGTTACGTTACGAGCCGAGCGAGTAGGCAACCCATGCGCATTCGTGCGGGCGGTACAGCATAACTACCCCTGTACCATAACGAACGCCTATTCTAACAACTTAAATAAATTTGCTGGGAGCGTGAATAATATTAATCGGTCTATAATATTGTGAGCTACGTAACGCCACTGTCTTCTTCGAGAGCCAGTGGCAACTCTGGTGAACATGAGGGCACTTTGCTGTTGCTGCTGGGCGTGGTGCAATAAGTAATATGGCGCAGTACCCCCAGCGCTGCCGCCCAAGTTTTGCCGAGAAAAGTCGTCGCGGGTTTGTTCGGGTCGGGCGGGGGTCGGAGCTCTGGCCTCTGCGGCTCGGCGCGCACAGGAAGGCCGTAAAGATAAAACCAACAGCATCGCGCCGCGCGCCCCGCCAACCGGCGGCGCTGCTACGCCCAGGAAGCATAATTTGCACTGTTGCACTTTTGCACTACTCGCAATTCCCCCCTACTGCCGCGACCATGTTTGGCCCGAGTCGCTTTGGCCTCGGGAGGAAGTACTACATAGGAGAGAAAGAGAGAGGGAGAGAGGGGGAGTAGGGGACGACGGAGCGATATGTGGACGCGGGGGCTGAGTTGGTTTGAACCCATACTAACACACCGGCACCCCGCCTCGTGCCGCCCTGGAGCTGCACATGCACGGCCGCGCAGCGCCC